CATGTGCCATCAATCGGAACAAGTGATAATCAGAAGGGCCAATGTCTAGTGAATACGGCGGGTGGGGTAGGACTTCCCATTTAAGCGTTTCCAAGTAGGTTTTCACCGGTTGTGCATTATAGTTGTGCAACATTATGAACGATTATTCGCATGTTTTGTTAATGAAACTAAATAATTCTAATATCGAGATGTGTCGATAATGAGTCTGTTTACTTATTTATTCAATTAATCTTTTTGTTACCGAGAACGAGATATTTCTCCATCACAATGTCGCTTGAGATGACGCTAATGGCGAGATATTTCGCGTCGCAATTTCTATTGTGCTGTGTTAAGGACGAGATATCACTAAAATGTCTTTAAATGAATTCTTTATTCTAAATTTTTGAGATGACAAATTAAAGTATACGAGATATCTCGTCTATAGCACTTTCGAATAACGAAAGTTGTAACGTGAGATATCTCGTATAAAGCGTCGCATAAGTGATATCGTGTTGGCGAGATATCTCGTCCATAGTAACAAAAGGATTAATTACGGAAAGAATCTCATAAAGCAAGGAAAAAATTGTAAGTTACATTTCGGTGGAAATAGGAATGTATTACTGATTGTTATTTATTTCTTTGATTTTCTTTTTTTTTACTTATTAATTTTGTTACATACAAAAAAGAAACAATATTTTGAATAATGAATAGTTTAAATATTCTATTATTGTAATTACAAAAATTATAAATCTTTGTTTGTATTTTTTGTAAAAGTCTTTACATAAAATAAATAAATAAATACATAACTAAATAATCATTATCACCATCTTGATATTAATATATTCGAGATCGATGACTCGGTATGTGGATCATGTCAATGAGCATGTAGGCTATGTCTAATTCTGTAAATACTTTTACTTATAGGACGTCAGTCTCGAATGTGTTAAAATTGTTTACATTAATTTGAACAAATTGCCAAATTATTTCTAATAATTTTATTTGGATATCTATTCAAGTTATTTATTGTTGCAAATAATGATACACTAACAGTTTTTTGTTAGTTATTTCTTCAGATCCTTAAGTTTCTTTATTAGATATATATATATATTTTTATTACTCGGCCCTGCCGTTTTTTTTTCTAGAACGTACCTACAACTATCCAGATCTTCCACCATCGGTAAATCACCTACGTTAAAATCAGTGCTTCGGGAGTCGAAGTTCGGGAGTAAAGTTACCAGTACCACCATTTTATTGTAACTAACATCATCAAAAAACCACTGTTCCGAGCGAGTTACCATTATTTATGAGTTACCATCGTAACCCTTACGCCAACGTCGACAAGTTATCACCCTTAAGTCGCAACCACATAGCATCATAGTTAGTTGTAAAATTAATAACTAACAAACTAAAGGAGATAGAGAAAAACGGTTTACGCTATAATTCTCAGCATACCAACCTGCAAAATACCAGCCCGGTTTGAACATTATAAGTTTTGTTTTTAACAATCGATGTTTAAATAATAAAAATTATTAAATATGTAAAGATATGTGTATATAGCTTCAAGAATTTTTAATAAACAAAGGTGTTATGGCTATTTAAGCAAACACAGATGTCGATGTGTGAATACTTGAATCAATTTATTGAAACTTAGTGCAAAACATTTTCGACCTTGTATTAGGTCTTTTTCTTGACAGCACTGTGCGACGTATTTTACTACAGTATTTTAAATGCATTGAGAATGACCTAATACAAGGTCGAAAACGTTTTGCACTAAATTTCAATAAATTGATTTAAGTATTCACACATCGACATCTGTGTTTGCTTCAATAGCCATAACACCTTTGTTTATTAAAAAGTATTAAACTTTTATTACGTGGTATTTTGCATCTAACTAATACAAAACGAGATCCGAAAACTATTTTGCTCTACCTTGTACTCAAAATATTCAATTTGTTAACTTTCACTCTTTGTCATAAATCGCAGAGTAGCCGATTGAAGGTTCCTGCAAAATTAGTTTCAAGCTATCTCTTCTGGTTCTCGAGATATTTGAGATTTGCGAAAGGGACTATATATCGTTAAATGTAGAATATTAAAATAAATCAAATGCGTATATTTGTTATTCATAAGCTTTATTATAAAACCGCGTTTTCGGGAACTTTCCAATCACAGAATTAACATAATGTGTATGACGCGAAGTATTATTATCATGGTGGAAGTAACAAGGTGTGCTCGTGCGCAAACATTTTTGTTGGCCAATAAAAAAGCGTGACTGAATTCAGCCATCTTAAGTCATTCAAAAGCATATAATTTAAAAAGAAAGTAATAATACATTTAATAAATCACTTTTAAGTATAATTTAGTAATTACAATATTATATGTGTTAACTATTATTAGTATAAATAAATTATACTAATAAATATGCATACCGATTTGTAGAGTTAACCTATCTCTCACGCTCTTTGTTTATATAGAGTGTATTTCTTTTCATGCATATGCGCACATTATCTTATTGCATGTTACGTGTACTATAGAATTATGGCAGATCTCAGTTACTGCGCAGAACGTGAAGAAAATCGTCCGAGAAACGAGCACACCTTATTAACACACCTCTCCAACTCATACTTTTTGCCTTCTATCTTTTTCTTCTTTCAATGCCCTCGTATATGTACGCCATCTCGTAGCTGGCATACGAGATGCACAAAATTTGGGACGACGAATTCTGAATGATAATAAAATCACACACACATTTCGGTTATTTCTTATTTTCTCCGTTCAGAACCACAGACCGAAAAAACGCAAGAATAATTTTTTCTTCATTTTTTCAACGCGAATCAAACGAGTCTAAAAAGAAGTTGATCGATTCAGTCGTTATTAAAAAATTGCTGATTACATATCTCTCCTTCACTAAAATTCCTCATTTTCACACATATAAGGCACAGTGTGCTCGCGCAGTTCGAGCGCCACTTCGTTGCGCATGAACTTGGCGCGAGGCACTACTGTGCCTCTTGATGCGGAGCAAGATGGTAATTGAGCTCAACGCCAACAGAACCTAGAAAACGATTCTTCCTTCTCGGAAGTCTAAGCTCTTCTAATTAATAACCGCAAATACGGAGCCCTCAGACTCCCTTTCTAGTCCACACCTGAAGTGGACATACTGGCGCCCATATAGGCACCTTGAGAGATCCGTCTCTGAGCTTCACGCTCTAGTTCCGCCGTCTCCTTGGCTATCATTACTGCTTCGCAATACGAGACGTCGGCCCGCCACTGCTCAATTGACTCAAGCATGCGTCGGAACAGTGTCGCAAGCGACAAATCAGCCCCAACAGCTGCGCACAGAGCTTGACGCTCTGTTGCCCACGCTGGGCATTCTACGAGCGTGTGACGAGTCGAGTCGACTGTTGCATCACAGTGCTTGCATCCCGGCCCGCGAGCCTTGCCTATTCTATGCAGATACTCACCAAAGCACTCATCCCCGGTGACCTGCGTCGTCCGAAACGTCAACGTCTCCCGATGGGGACGATCCACTCACGTATGCAGGATGGGTATGAGAGCCATCCGGATCTCAAGACCCGGAAGGGTCGCCTTACGTCCTCGTGTCTTCCACTGCTCAATGACACTTTCCCACACCCGACGACGAGACTCTCCCGGATCGAAGGGGGCGTCGGGTGGTTGTCCCGCATTTCGGCAAATGCTTGAAGTACAAAAAATGCAGTTCCAGCGGTGGGGTTCCCACAAGCAGTCCCGCAACTAGAGAGTCCCGCCAGAGACTGTTCTGTACGCGCACACCAACCGCGACAACAGTGTGCGATCAAGACGTCGGAACTCCACGCGAGCCCGGCGCTGGCGAAGTAGGTCATCCGCCCAGACCGGTGCTCCGTAAAAAACTATGAGCGGACGGCCATCGCGTACAAGCGCCGGCGTCTCTCTCCCGGTCTCCGCAAGTTGGGCATGAATATTGCGAGATAAACTCTAAGTGCCTGGGTAACCTAACAGGGAAGCCGACGGCCCGGAAAGCCGGAGATTTCAGGTCAACTCCTGGCTGGAGAGTTTTTTTCGCAATATTTTAAATTAATTTGGGGGAGTCCTTCATATACGAGATACAAATCTAGCATCCTATATGATTCAAATGAATTGAAATTACAATTCAAAAACTCACATGAAAATAATATGAATTTGTTTATATATATACATACGTGTATATATATATAGACATTTCTTCCGCACAACATCCAGCGAACGGCTCTATACGACCAATTATATTCATTGACTAAGTTTAAAGACTCAAGAGCTCTGAGATGATTCTCAGTTTAATACTAATTGTTAATAATTTTAATTATATGTTTTGTGCTCGTGTTATGTTTCAATAAGAAAATAGGGAGGAGGCAATAACGAATTGTACATCTCTGATGTTTGGGTAAAATTCTTCTTTAATCCAAAGATTTACCAATTGATGTAAACGTTTTGATCCACTATGAGATCTTCTTCAGTGTCCAGTTAGAGGAATAAAAGGGACGAAAGGGGAGACTAAGTTGCCACTTCTTCTTTTTTTTCCTTTATCTTTTTAAAGAAAATCCTATAGTGGATCGAAACGTTTGCATTAATAGTTAAATCTTCGAAATAAATAAAAATTTTATCCAAACATTAGGCGTAGCTTGTTATTGCTTCCTATTTATCTTTTTATTTAAAATGATGTCATTTATTTTTCTCTATCTCTTAAGTTAGTTAAATTTTTATCAAATCAGAACAATTTATATACCTTGTTATACTTTCTTTGTCAATATCAAAGCTCTTGCATTCTTAAATTTAATTCAAATGTCTACAAAAGATCGGCATAAAAATAACTCTAACGCTGTTCTAACAACTTATTTTTAGAAATTTCTATAACACTGCGTAAACATTAAATGTAAACCTATTTTTATGTATTGCAGAGTTTCTTTTTTACAACGTGTGAGATTTCTTAAACTTACAACACTAGCAAAACGATCTAAAATAAATGTCAGTTAAATATAAATTACACTTACTATATCGCACTAAATTTGTAGAATTTTCAAATTCAGATGTCAATCCAGTGATGCAACTTTTCCAGAGACCTGCATGTTTGTACAACAGCCTTTTAGCACTACTGGCACCTCCTAAAGGCACACCATTTTCATCCGGGGATTCTAGCGCAAACCAGTGATCTGTTCCAATAGCCACAGACCATATGCATATCGAAACTCCCACAAGAATGGTACAACTCAGAAGAATTCTTCTTTCAAAAATAATCTAAATAAAATAATAAAATCTGAATAAGATAATTAAGAATACAACAATAAGAATATTAGTAAAACTTTTATTTGTTTTTCAAAAAAAAAATGGGTAAAAAGGTCGATGTTTGTCTCTTGTGGTAAAATTCATGTTGATTATTAATGATGAGGTCCTACAGAATTTGAAAAACCCATGTAAGTCTGGGAACCAATGAAAACTTGGTGAGAATTAGCAATAAAGGTGAAATATTGAGATATCAACTATTCGCAAATATTGTAGTATCACTATTGTAGTAGATATTTGGCATATGGTTCAACCAATCTTTGTAAAATATGGTACAAAAATACTTTTAGAAACCAAAGGCAGATCCCTATTGACATTCAACAAACTCAGCTAACACGTAGGAGGGAGGAGAATGAAACATGCGAAACACTGTCAAAGCATGCTTTCAAGAATATGTTGAGCACTATTGAAGCTTGTTTTCAGTGCAGTCACATACGTACGCATGCACACACGCATGCACGCACGCACGCGTATGTATAAGTACATGTATATATATAGGGTGTTTGGTAATTGCCGGAACATCGCTCGTAGGTAGGTAGAAAGAATCGAAAAGTCCTGAACCATTTTTTTCTATTACATGTAATAAAAAAGTAATAAATGAATAAATCAAGCCAATCAGCGATCTTTAGCCAAACGCACGTCAGTAAATCACGAGCTTTTTGTGTGAGCGCTTCGCGCGGCTTACTGACGAGCGCTCGGCTAAAGATCGGAGCTGATTTATTCATTAATTACTCCTTTATTATATGTAATAGAAAAAAATGGTTCAGGACTTTTCGATTTAGTTTTACTCTTTCTACTTGCCTACGAGCGGTGTTTCGGTAATTACCAAAAACATCTTGTATACGTATATGTATATGTATATGTATATGTATATGTATTGTGACGTGGATCCACGTCGCTCCTCCCTCGCCACAAAAGTTAGATTTTTCGCGGAAATGCGAGCCGTTCTACAAGCGCCAAGATCCTTCAAGGCTTGCTTGCGTATTAGAGAATTTGTCTTTTAATTTATTTTTTTATTATATGTAATATAAGCGCCTCACCGTTCGAGGATACATTGTAAGGGGATTCTTCGAGGGACTTCGATCTGTCAGCAAAGACAAGAGAAAGCGTGAGAGAGAGACTGGCACGGAGACGCTAACAAAAGATCGCTTCAAGGTCGCAACGAGGGGTGAGATAGCATGTTGCTGCATGGCGCGCCATAACAAAGACGGCTGCGCTTCCACCGGCGGTCGCCGACAGGAACAACGGAATGAACCGGCAACGAGTCACTTCTCCACCTGATTACTCTGCATTATCACAACTCTTCTGCTGTATTGCTTGGCGATAACTCGACTCTATTCGCATGCCTCATTGCTCTATTCTGTGTTGCATCCCGCTAGCTGCTGTAATGCTGCCCTACACTCTGTAATTTATCGCTAGGAATAAGCTACAAGATCCTGCGAGCTTTGTATTTCGCGGCCTGCTGATTCTGCCGCCTAGCGCGAGTTTGCGCGCTGCGCTTAGTATCTCCTGTGACCTGATTGAACCGATCTACTCCACGCGACTCTGACGCTCTCTGGCGTATCGATAGCGATCAGTGATGGGATAAAGGATGCACACAAGCAGTGGTAGGAGAACTTGACGAGATAGAGTAGGGGATTGCCTAGCAACGAAAATGATTATGTGACGACGCTGCGCGAGAACGTTGACGCGGCGCGGCGGAGTGACACATCGCAGCCATAACCACAATATTCTTTCTTTTATAACTGTCATAACACTCACAACTCACAAGTCAAATCAATAATACTTAAACGTACCTGACGTTGTACAAAAATATTAATAAAATGTAAGGAAGATAATACTGAAGAAGGTTATTCAGAAATTTATAACAACCCTCAAAAGTTCATAACAACTACATCTCAACGAGTGTGTCTACATCGGTTACGAAGCAAATAAGCACGTGCTTCTAAAAATCGTTAGATTCTATGAAGTATGAAGTTTGATTTTTGAAAAATTTCTTTAATAGTTCTATGTACAAAAAAGAACATATTCCGGAAGATTTGCAAGGTATTCTATTAGAAGAAACAGATGAAAGTGGTAGCAAACAAAGCGAAGATGATGATGTGTAAATATGATGTATATTAACTGTATATTTGATACTATGAAACAAAATAAAAGAAATTATTTAGTATAAATCAATATTCTATTTATTTCAGGTAACCTTCCTCAGTATTATCTTCCCTACATTTTATTAATATTTTTGTACAACGTCAGGTACGTTTAAATATTATTGATATGACTTGTGAGTTGTGAGTGTTGTGACAGTTATAAAAGAAAGAATATTGTGATTATGGCTGCGATGTGTCATTCCGCCGCGCCGCGTCAACGTTCTCGCGCAGCGTCATCACGTGATCATTTTCGTTGCTAGGCAATCCCCTACTCTACCTCGTCAAGTTCTCCCCCCACTGCTTGTGTGCATTTTTTATCCCATCACTGGTCTAGTTTCCACCAAAGCATTAATTCACACCAAATGCGACGTAGAATCAAATTTAAGTCGATGGAAACCTGTCAAATTGTGCTGATTTCACTTCCGCTTCGATCTATAAGTACTCTACTTCCAATGGAAACAGAGCACTAAATTTGATCAGTACCGGAGTGAAACCGAATTGAGGGTTTCGGTGGAAACTAGACCACTTATCGCGATCCTCGCTCTTTTGGTCGCACGTTATTGTATCGAACGGACGTATCTGCCCGGGCTTCTAAAAATCGTATCGCGCCGCTATCTCAAGAGTATTGTATCGCCGACGAGGACCGACGGAACCGTTGTGTCGAGAACCGCTGAATGGAAGACGACGACAACATACGGTGAGATGCCCGTTTCCTTTTTGTAAGCCACGAATCCGCGTCGCTTAAGTCTCGTGTCGAGACTAGTAATTTTCGCGTTTTGTTTGTGCCGACGAAAACGAATTATTCGCCATTTTTTCGAGAATTTTCTGCAGCAGCTAGAATCGAGCCTCACTGGGCTTCGTGGTGATAATTCATAGGTTAAATGCGTTCTAAGTGATTGCTTTATTGAGCACATCCAAGTCCTGGAGATATAATAATGCGCCAAGCAGCACTTCGTGTGTAATTTACGTGTTAAATTGTAGTGTCTTATTTTATTGCGACTGTCGTACCGTGTCGCTATCGCATCGCGCAGTTATCGCATCGTACCGGTAATCAGTTGACGCTTTGTAAATTTCGTAATGAGCAGTACGTCATTATCTTGTTAATTAACGGGTTTTGTACCGAACAATCTTTTACTTCGTTGTTATCTTCTAACCTATCGTACCGAAGTACTTATTTTCGAGTCACTACGTAGTCAGTTACCGTATCGAAAAATATCGTATCGCTACGCTATTGATTCTCATACCGATTTTTACCCGAACAAATGACGGGAAAGTACATGGATGTTCCTGTGTGATCGGCCAAAGTAAAAGGAGTGTGAGTCGGAAGTGTCGTACAACAGCAGAAACTTGAAATGCATTTTGTGCGTGCAAATTACGACTTGATAGTCATTTTTCGTGACAAGTATTGCTAACAAAATAGCGAGCGTACTGTGAATACGCGTCGCGGAACCTGCGTATACTCTGTGGAATTTGCTTACAAGTTATCGTACCGTATTGACTAGCGTACTGCACAAGTAATAGTTTATTGTACCGCTACTGGGACAAAGAATTAGAGGAATAGCGTACTGCACCTAGCGAATTCTGAGACAAAAACCGTTTCATGAATAACTTCGAGGTGTTGTCAAGATAACAAAATTGTTAGAGCTCTTCCGACGTCGCGCACGCTTTGTTCTTTACTACACGTATTTAGCAAGTAGCTACAATATTACATTCGGCTGCTCAACCGCGGAGTTGTGAGCCTTGGGGCCAGAATCAGCGAAAGCTTGCGTTGTGCATGCGAGTCCGACGTGAAGACGATCACCTGGAAACCGAATTCACGCTAATCTGCGAGTAACTGAGTGGCTTGCCTGTACGCTTATTTAACCCTTTTTTCTACATCTGTTGAGTGCTTGTACTCTCTCGCCTGCTTAGCCTGCGCCTTGATTTACACCTCGATATCTTGATCACATTTCGGTAACGATCTATTTGGTAGAACTTGACCAGTGCTATTTACGATTAGTTGGTCTGACTAACTTGGTCTTGTTAAGTGCCGTATGACAGGATCGCTATTGATGGTTACTTATGTCTTATTGGAATCAATTATACTTTTCTGTTATTTACTCAAACATTTATCTCATTCTTTCTTATTTTTTAAAAATCTGTTATTCTATTATATTACCTGTGTGTTATAATAAATTGTTATCTATTATTTTATTATCTTCGGCGTGATTTATTGTGCGAGCAAATTTGCCGTGATTATAAGGGACAGCCTGAATTAAAATAATTATTAAACCCAGCTCCTTTTTGTCTTAAAACCTTTTTGAGTTAGTCAGCCCATTGTGTCAAACGACGCAGATATTGGTACAGAAACATGCTTGGCACCCAAAATTACACCTAAAATGTAAGGTAATACTTGTAATACTTGTAAGTATTCGTCGATTTGACTTAATAGTTTATGAACCTCCCTTTTTCTGTCCTGCTATTAAGAAGACGTTGAGATCTGGCGAACGCTTGCTCGTGCCTTTTCTTTAAGCTTCCTTTGCGAGCGGAACTCGCAAGAAAATTCTAAAAATTGAGAAAAACGTCAACGGTATATACAGAGTGTTTCAGACTACTCGTACATTCCATTTAAAAACGAGGGAAGTGGTTATTTTAAAAACTGTTTCAGACAAACTTTATTGGTAATCAAGCAATGCATTACATAAGCATATGCACTTGACCTTAAATAGCGTTGTGAAGGTCATGTCAAGGTTGACTTGAATTTTTTTACCGGAAACACTTACTTTTTATTTTATTTTCTTGTAGCGGATGTCAAGGCGTTTTCCAAAC